CATTACTCAGCCATGGACTATCTGACCTTATGTCGATTATGCTCCCTTACTCAGCGTTACTCATCGCTCAGTCAGCGTCCTCTGGACGTCACATGCTCTCTTCTTATACGCTTACTCATCGTCCTCCCCAGTAGTATATAAGGAGGACTCTGCAGGCCTCTGCTCTTCAGTCGTTCTCTCACAGACTGAAGAGTAAGTCCCACACTACCTATGCTTCCTTACATGTTTACTTACTAGTACTTGTAGCCTCTCTTTGTGCGGCTTACAGGTACAGTACTATGCAATCATAGTCGTTCTCTCACAGACTGAAGACCTCTCTTTGTGCGGCTTACAGCCTTCCAGGTTCAGAGTTCATCAGCTCACACATCCTTCGCACCCCGATTCGGAATACCCTATCTGATCGCCCGACGCTCAAACATCCAATGGGGACTCGACCGCCCCCAACACGCCTCTTGCGACCTTCGCGTCTGATAGACGAGCCTCTCAACCCGGTCCTCCGGCGCCTTCCACGTCTCAATATCCGACACTATCTATCTCTCTACCGAACTCGCGACTCACCTACATGCACCCGCGCGACCGCTACAATTCGCGTAGCGACGGAATCACTACGTGCAGGGCTAAACAATGGCGTCTACGTTCTATGGACTGAGACGACGAGCAGACCATCTCAGCGACGCCAAGATAGCGCACAAGACGACACGGCAGGGAACAGCGCGCTATAGCAGGGGTGTCTCAATGCAGCCGCCCTTCATGGTGACTTCGTAGGGCTTTGCGTCCCGTAAGTACCCTCAGCGTCGCTTCGTAGTCTTCCTATTCTTCATACTTATGACCATACTGTCTTCGTAGTTCGTCGACGCATGAGATCGCTTTCGGAACATCCCTACCCTCACGACCCCGTACTCCCCTTCCGCAATCGCGACTCGCCGCTGGTCATCCAACATGTCACTCTATTCATCGACTTCCCGCGGACTTCGACATGACCCACCTATCGAGCTCGCGTCGTTAGCGCTGATCCCGCACCCCATCTACGGAAACGACGCACAGGTCGCGCGATCCTCGACCAGGAAGACATGGATACCGGTCTCCATGCGCTCCCCGGACGTGGATGATCACAAGAAGGGCCTTTCAGCGACGTCATTATCGAAGGGCAAACGAGGAGCGCTAAAGAGTGGCGGACGACCCTGGTCCTGTGGGGCTGGACTTCACGCTCTATGCGCCGCCGCCTCGATCGCCAAACTTGAACAACGTCATGCTTGCTGAGCTCTACGCGCGACACCGCTCCAGCAAGAAAGCGACCAACGGCGCTGGCATCGCGATCCCCGGAGGAGAAGACTGCGTGACAGCGGAAGCGTGCGCATGCTACGCTGTCCGCTCCGGCCTTGGTCGCGCGCCCCTCTGTCGCAGCTGATCCTCACGCTGTCGTTTCCGTCACGGTCCGCCGTGGCCACGCGCCTGACGCGGTACAACGATGATTTCAACCACCCCTCAGCTACGCGACGCACGCAAACGGGCAAAGCCTACAAAGGCATCGGGAGGGAGCGCCCCACGTTGAGGTCGCATTCGCAGTCGTGTCCGACCTGCAGCAGCCCGTTTCACGGCTGTTGCTGACTCGAAACCCCTTACTGCACGTCATGCAGCATCTCACCCTCTCCGAGCCGCCGCCTCGAGGATGACGCTCCCTGGAGGCAGGTGTCATGCGAATTCGACCTTCGTATGGAGGCTGGAGGAGACTCGCTGAAGGCACTCGCAAGCGACCTGCTGTCGCGTCCACTACTTGGCGGAACGGAGGCAACAGTGGCGGTCATTCGTGCACGGGCTTTCGGGCTCCCCAAGCGACAGCAGTGTGCATATAGCAGCTTCATACATAGTATTTGACCGATGTCAGCTACGGAACGAGTAAATAACATTCCGTTGATGCCTTTTGGTCCTTTGCGACTGCTCAATATTGTGAACGACACGTGTGCGTCTGCAACTAGACCCAGCGAGTATCGGCGCCGTAAGCTCGCGAGGGATGGTGTACCAGCGAGACGAGTTTGGAGCAGTGCCAGAGCTCTGCTGGATACACAACGTCGGCGCAACACGAGCCCGTTGGTGAGTAATGTACACGATCCTTCATCAGACAACGGTATATAAATCGCGCAAAGGAGCGGTATAAACCCGCCGCATGTCCGTGCACTTATCCGTTCTTCATCTCTCCTTCACACCACGCGCACCTAAATCGTACCGAACACGGGTTTACCGTCCATGACGGTCGCGACGACACGCGTCTCGAGCACGCGCGGCGCGGGGATGTGCATGATGTCCTGCGAGAGCACGACAAAGTCCGCGAACTTCCCGCGCGTGATCGAGCCGAGGATGTCCTCGGTGAAGGACGCGTACGCGGGGTCGAGCGTCATGCCCTTCAGCGCCTCCTCGCGCGTCATGCGCTGCTCGGGGAACCTGTCGGCCCAGGCGTGTAAGCCGAATGCTCACCTAGGAGAAAGAGGATGGAGCGTGGAGGGACAAGGGAAAGACGTACCATCCGCCAGGCCCATGCGGGGACGTGCCGTCGGGCGAGACGCGAGTGATGGCGGCGTAGAAGCCAGCGAGCGGGTTCATGTCCTCGACGGGAAAGTCTGAGCCGAGCGTGATGCGCGCGCCGTGGTCAATGATGCTCCGGAACGCGTACAGGCCCTTGACGCGCTCGGGGCCCTGCGCAAATGAGTTAGGTCAGCGTCCGGAAGACTAGCATGGGACGAGTGGCGAGGCGCGTTACGCACGAGACGGTCCTCGGCAAACCACATGTCGCTAATGCTGGGGAGGCGTAAGAGACGTCAGCATGGAACATTAACGGCTGAAACGGTGGTGTGATTGGACTGACGCGTGTGTCGGTTGAACGCTCGCGATGACTGCGCGCATGATCATTAGTTAAAACGGGGTAAGGTAACGGGGCGGACGTACCACCGAGGTCGCCAAAGCGGGCCATATCCTTCTGCGCAAGAATTTGCGCATGTTCCAGCCGTGGGCGCAGCGCCGTAACGTTCGCCTCGGCTAGCGCGGCTTCGAACGCGTCAAGCACGACGCCATTGGCGCGGTCACCGATGGCATGCACGTTCTGGTGCGTGGTTAGCTCGAGGCTCTATGTGGCCGGATCGATGGGAGGTGGACGTACGACTTGCCATCCGTCCTTCATAAATTTGGGAATGACCTCGTTGAGCGTCTCGGGGGCGATGCGCATAAAGCCCCGCGTCTCCGGGTTGTCCGCGTATGGTTCATAGAGCTACATACGGGATGACGCGCCAAGTACGGCGGGCGGGGAAGAACGAGCACAGTGTCAGTAACGTCGACGGGTGGACTGCAATCGACCAATTCCCCGGACTCACTGCAGCACCGCCGGACCTGAGAGCGCCTGCGAAGAAGGAAGGATTTGAGTCCCGGCGCTGACAGGTAGCTAGAGTGGCAATGGGCTTACCGTCTGCGAATATTTTGACGCTGCGCACGCTCAAGCGGTTGTTCCCCGCGAGGACGATCTTCTCGAATGAGTCGCCCCAGTAGGCGGCCGTCTCATCGAAATATTTCATGCCGTAGACGCGAATCTGCGGGCGCGCGTCAAAAATAATTTATAGCGGAAGCGAGTAGGGAAAGCGGCTTACCGGGAGCGTCGTTGATTGGGCTTCCCTGCGTGGAAGTGAGCGCTGGATAGCGAGAAGACAGGTCTCGAGACCTACCTCCGGAAGAACTCGAGCGAGAGCGGGTTGAAGCCAGCGTCGTGTACCGCGGTAAGACCGCGCTCATGTGCGTCTTTTACGGTGGCAGCGAACCGCTTTTGGAGCTGTTTGTATGTCGGCTCGGGGCGGATGACGAGGTCCTGGGCGTTGTCGAGGAAGACGCCTACACGAGGAAGGGTCAGCTGCGGGCGGGGTGCAACGGGGAGCTTCGCGCACCGGTGGGCTTGCCGAACGAATCGCGCACAATGACGCCGCCTTCGACTTCGGTAGGAAGAGGCTCTATTGAGCGCAGTACCGCCTGGGACACCCAGAGCATGTGGCCGTCCTTGCTCTGGAGAACGACAGGGCGGCCGGCCACGATAGGGTCTGCCTCGAGGGCGTTCTACCGGTGTACATGTTAGTAGACGTATTTATTTACAACGGTAGACGCCTACGTAGGTGGGCCATTCTTCGAGCAGCCACTTCGTGTGGTCCCACCCCCAGCCCTCGACGTACTTTGTCTTATCCTCGAAGATTTCTGGGTCGGCCTCGATATAGGCACGCACGCGCGCAACGGTTTCTAAAAAGAGAAGGTTACGGTGTTTACCGAAGAAGTCGAGAAGCAAATATGATGGGACCTACCTGCTACGGTTTTGGTGCCCTCGAGGGGCATTTGCTTCGTCGCACCGTACTCGAGTACGTGTGCATGCGAGTCTGGAAATAAGTGCAGGTGAGCAAACGGATTTAGATGGCGTGAGCGAGGGAACCTACCGCTCAAACCGGGGACCACAATCTGGCCGGGCTTGAGGAAACGCACGTGGGGCTGGCCCGGGGTCGAGGCGTGCCAGTTCGATAAGACGTGATCTGTCGTTAGCAACGGGCGGTTAGCTATTGGGACCGATCACGACGATGGCAGGCGATCAAAGTCAAGGACGCACCCAATGATCCGACGGAGGTAAACTTGGACCCATTCACGACGAGGCATTCGACGCGGGGGTTTTCGGGATCCAGGGTATGGATGTGCGCGCCGTCGCGGGTGCAGAGGGCGTAGGACTCGGTGAGGGCTTCAACACTGTCAAACCAGGAGTTCGAGTAGGCATAGTATCCCGAGAGCGCAAGCGAGACCAGGAGGAGGAAGGGCGTGAAAGAGCGCTTGGGCGACGTCGAGGTGTGTGCTGCGGACGGAGCCGGGGACGCGGAAGAGGGTCCGGACGCGGCTTTCTCAGAGATGGTGCGTTTGCGCAGAGAGGAGTCGTCAGTGGGAGGCATGTCGGGGGCGTCAGAGGGAGGACTTGAGGAGACAGAGTTTGGGGGAGGCATGGAGATCTATAAGTGTTGGGCATGAGAAAAAACGGGCCGAGGGGTGGTTCTGAGGGGCGCAGGGGAGAGAAGGAAAGGCGCGAGGATCGTTCGGCAAAGGATTAACGAGGGCGCGATCAAAGGAGAGGGTCGCAAAAGACACAGTGAGCGCTGAGCGCTGGCGCCTGCAGCACTGGCAGGGGCGATGATACCAAGAGCGTGGTATCAGTAAGCGCCTAAGACATCAGAAGACGCGCTGAGCGCCAGCGCGGAGTTGTGTTATGGATAAATTGAGGATAGACGGGAGGCGCGTGCGACCCAGGCGCAGCACAAGACGGTACACGCGGGAGAAGGGCGGTGCGGGAGAGGGAAGGAAGAGCCAAGCGGGCTCGGACTTACCTCAACGCGGGCGGCGAAGGCAACGGCGTCAATCAGCAGACACTGGCTGATTCAGGGCGCGTGCGTCAGAGCAAGTGAGGGATCCGGAGAGAGAACGAGCGCAGAGAGCTGGTCGCGGCGGTCGGGGGACGTTGTGGAACGATGAGAGTCGAACGCGGGAGAGAGCGGGCGACGCGGTGGACCTACAACTCCATAGGCGCCGAAGCACGTGGCGCGTGTGACTGTCCGTCACAGGCCACGTCGCGTGTGCTGCTCCCTCCTCTCAGCCACCGCCGCCACCCTCGCCGTCCTCCGCCCGCCTCTGCTCGTCCTCGGCCGCCTCTGCTCTCTCACTGGGACTGGACTTGGTCTGAATGCCTCTACACGATGTTCTCCGCCAGCGTTTGCAGCCGCTCACCTCCACCGTCACCTCCAACCGCATCTTCCTCTATTCCGTCTTCTCCACTTTCGCAGTAGCAGCTACCATCGCGAACGCATGCAGGGCACACAGCAACTTCTACTCCGTCTCCATCTATCTCGCCAAGAGCAGTCGGAGTGTCCTGGTACGCTCTACCCCTCTGCCTTGCTGCGTAGCACTCACCTCTCCAAGATCCTCGCGAACTTCGGCTTCCTCTGCGCCCTCCTCTCCGGTCGCATATTTCAACGCATATTCTTCGGCCCTCTCCAACCCCGGGAAGTTGAGGTACGTCTCGCATACTCACTCATATTCCCCCTCTTCAACCCCCGCTCCAGCGTTTGTACGACCAAACATGGATGTTCGTCACCGAGTCCCTCCTCGCCTTCACCATCTTCCGAGACGAGTTCGACGTCCCCTTCCTCCTCATGTTTGGCTTCCTCCTCTTCGTCAAGTGCTTCCACTGGCTTATGGCAGACCGCGTTGAATCAGTGAGTCTCACCCGACTCATATTGCCTGCTCTGCTCACGTCCCTCAAGATGGACCAAACGCCCTACCCCGGGCCTCCCACTCTCTTCCATGTCCGTATCAACGCCCTTTTCGGTGTCCTCTGGGCCATCGACATCACCATGTTTGCCTTCGCAGTCGAGAGTACGCTCACGAACGGCGTCGGTGGTATGGTCCTGTTCGCAAGCGAGGTCAGTGTCTTCACATGTGTTATACGAACCGCGCTAAACAACTCCATAGTATGCCATTCTACTCGCGAGCGCCTTGAATGCCATGCTGCGCTACGCGCTTTCCATTCTCGACCTACGCAGAGCACGCACGCGCGGTGGTGAGAACGCCCCACCTTGGGAAAACAAGAGCATGTACATCTTCTACATTGAACTCCTCACCGGTAAGTCCCGCCGTCCTCCCAGACACGCCCCTCGCTTACCGTTTGTTCCTGCGCCACTATCAGACTTCCTGAAGCTAGCAACGTACATGACCTTCTTCATGATCATCCTCACCTTCTACGGCCTCCCGCTAAACATTATCCGCGATGTGTTCGTCACCGCGCGCTCGTTCATCACCCGACTCCGGGCGCTCGTCCGTTACCACAACGCGACCCGCGACATGGACCGGCGCTACCCCGACGCGACAGAAGCCGAGCTCGTGGAAATGTCTGACCGCACATGCATCATCTGTCGTGAGGAGATGCACTCGCGCGCTGCACCCGCACCCGCAGCGGCTGCCGCCGATCAAGCTGCCAATGGCGATCCCCAGCAGCAGCAGCAACCGCCCGCTGATGGGCCCAATATGACGCCCAAGAAGCTCCCGTGCGGGCACATCTTTCACTTCCAGTGCCTTCGCTCCTGGCTTGAGCGCCAACAGAGCTGCCCTACCTGGTTAGTCTCTCTGCGCTTCGCCCAGATCCATGTGCTCCCCCAGGATCTGACACAGTTCTCTAACTTCTTCCCCCCTCAGCCGCCGCACCGTCCTCGACAACAACACGCCACAGAATGCACAGCAGGCGCCCGGGCAAGCTCCGCGCCAACAGGGCGCGGCGCGTCCACGGCCTGGAGCCGCTCCCGTCCCTGGTGTAGCCCCAGGCGGCGCGGTCGCAGGCAACGGGCCCCTCGGATGGGTTGGCCGCTTCCTCGGGCTGCCGCAGGCACCTGCGTTGAACGCTCAGTTCCCAGGCGCGCAAGGCCAGCCGCAGGGACCATTCCCGCAGGGCCCTGCGCACCAGCAGCAGCCCGGATTCCCGCCGCCGCCTCCAGGATGGTTCCAGGCAGGAGCAGGGTTCCCGCCACAGCAGGGTCAGCAGCAGCCAAACGCGAACGCGTTCGCCGACTACATGCAGCGGTTCCAGCACGACGCGGGCTTTCCGCCGCAACGTTTTCCGGGAGACGGCGGCTTCGCGGGCCAGCCATTCCCGCCCCCGCAGTTCATCCCGATGCAGCAGCCTCCCCCGTTCAACGGCTTCTGGGGGCCTCAGAACGCGTGGCAGCCGTGGGGCGACCCTCGTGCGTTTGGACAGCAGCCGCCCGCGCCTGCGCAACCGCAACCTGGACAACAGCACGAACAGGAGTCCGCACCTACGCAACCGCAACCGCAACAAGTACCTAGACCCCCATCAGTCGCGGCGCCAACGAGTGAGGCGGCGATCCCTCAGGGTGAGGGCTCGCAAGCGCCCACGCCCACACCCACCGCGTCTCTACCGTCCTCGTTCACGTCAGAGACGAATACGAGCGCGGTGAACGCTGGAAATATGGACGCGCGCCGAGCCGCTGCATTGGCTGCATTCCGGCGCCTGAACCCGAACGCGGCTGCGGAAGCACCTGCGGCGCCCACGCAGACTACCGAGCCTGGGCCGAGTGCACCTCTCGCAGAAGCCGCAATTGCGTCGTCTTCGACCTCGACCACGCCATCCACACCAGCCGTTGCCGACCCATCTGCGCCTGCACCCACACCGACCGTCCCTGCCGTCGACCCCGCACCAGGCCAGCCACAACCCACACCGACGACGCAGACACCCGGGCACCTGCCTTCTCTCATTCCGCTGTACGACACGAGCCTCGCCCCCACTCCGCGTCTCCCCGGCGCGCCGCCTTACGCCGCGCCCTACAACTACACCCACCCCGCCTACAACCACTTCTACCGCGCGCCCACGCTACACCCCTCCGCCCCGCGCCCATCCGCGTCTTCGCGCCCGTCTGCATCTTCCGCGCAAAGTCAGAGCCAGAACCAAATCCCGCGCTCGGCGCGCGCCGGGCCGGGCGGGTCGCGCACGCCGCTGGGCCAGCTGCCGCCGACGCTGACGGAGGACCAGCTGGCGCGGCTGGACCGGCTGACGCGCGAGGCGATCGACGAGCGGCTGCGCGTGCTCGAGGGCGTGTCGGGCGCGGTGTACCGGTGCATGGAGGAGCTGACGCGTGTGCGGAGCGTGTTGCCGATGCCGGCGAGGAGGGCGGGGCAACAGGCGGGAGGATCGTCGAGCTCGGCCGCGCCGACACCGACGCCCACGGTCGATGCGGGCTCGGAGGGTTCGGGTGTGCAGTCTCGGGTGCCGGCGAAGGACGAGGTGCACGAGGTCTCGGCGGAGTCTTCGGAGAGCGCTACACCGAGCGAGGACGGGTCTGCGCAGTCGGAAACAGGCGAGGCGAATGGTTCAGCACTGGGCGCGAATGCGCGGGAGGTCGCGGAGTAGCACGGTTCGTAGTAAGCCTCGACGGCTGTGTAATTATCGTACAAGGGCACTATGTACACTACCATCTCGCTAGGTGTACGTGCAAATGCCTGCTGGATTGGAAACGAGAGCGGTGGTATGATCACCACTTGTCACTCAACGAGGAAGGCCTGCAGGTTGCCTGCTACACTGAGATACAGTTGCGCGCTGAGCGCTGAGCGTCGCGTCGATAGCTCTGGAGTCGGGCACATCGTGCGGTGGTCCATGAAAGTCTCCCATCGCTCGCAGCGTCCAGTACAGCTCCAAAAGATGTCAACGGAATGTTATTTACTCGTTCCGTATTGACATTCGTACAATATAAAGCCGCCACCGATATGTTGTTATCGTCCACAACCAAACAGCCCGGCCAATGACCAGCGCCGCCGCTCCCTTGTTGAACAATACGGCCCGCGCGTGGCAATCCGCGCGGACCCTCACGCGAGTATATACCAGATCTGTGAGAGTGACACTCGGAGCGAAGGTCCGAGTGTCACTCCGCCACTGTGGCGCAGTGACTGTCATTGGCCAATGTTCCCCACATCAGAACATCTGCAAAACACTGAGGAGCTGAGAACACTGATAGAAATCCTCTCAGTCTTTTCAGTGCTGACAGCTTACCAGCTGTCAGTAGCTGGTCACCCCGAGGGAGTGGTCGGAAGATAGACAATGGGAGAGCGAGCATCCAAAATCCAGATTACAGATATTATATTACAACCTCATGTGCATGATAGTCAATGAACCAGTTGACATAGAACATCCGAAACGCGTCCAATGTATCCGCATAATGAAAGCTACGCGGGATCTTGGTCCGGCCGTACACCCCAATAAGATGGCACACCCGCACAATTGAACCAACTGGGACAATGCGGGTGACAGGCCTCCCTTGAGCCATCTCAGGCTTAACCATCCACATGCCCGTCAACGGGTCGGGTTCCTCGCCGACCAAGTCAAACCATTCAACCAACGCGCACTGGTAGCGGATGTGCCCGTACGTGAAGGAAAGGAAGGCACGCACTCTGGCCACCGTCATTCCAAGCATTCCAGGCGCATTGGTATCAGTTTGGATCAGAACGGTGTCGAACTGCGGGCGCTGCCCAAACCAACGTGGAGTGGACCGGATGGTCTCCCGGTGCATCCCGCCTAAGCCTGCAAGCTCACTAGGAGCGTAAAACGTAGCCGTCGCGGAGTGGTGAACGGCGATGCGTGTGCGTGGTGGTAGAACAGGGGTTAGGGAGGAGGAGCACAACGAGCGAAGCGAGTTGTGCAACGACAACGACGAGTGGGGAGTCGAACTAGGACAACAGGGGATGGAGAAAACTCCAACCCATCCTGTTTCGACTTTTAACAGTCTCATCAGGTCCTGTATAGTTCATCCGATAAGGTTTTTCCCGGCATCGCGGCCGGAACTACGGCCTGCGCGATGCGTAACATTGCTTACATGGGATATCCAATCGCGGATACGCGATTGGCTGCTATTGTTCGAGCTCTTCTAACAATAGTATCTGATTACTGATGCTGTTCCCGTCATCGGCGCACAGCTCCCGTGCTGTGACTAATGCTGATGATCTGCCATGAATGATGTCATGGTCCAGGCTGCGCATGACGCGACGGTCTAGGCTATGACATCACCTAATCGATCGGAGATCTCCTATGATGTAACATCACGTGATATACCAAATATACCTATCTCTATAAAACCCCCTTTTGAGCTCAGAAGGGCGAATGCGGATGGATGCGGATTGAATGCGGGGGCCATAGTTCAGGAACCGTTAGGAATTCCACCCCGCATTCGCACGTTTCCGAGTAGCCCTGCTTCTTGGCTACGCAATGGTGGTGGTATCGCACTGGTGGCTGCGCTGGTCGGCGAGAACCGGGCCCGCATTCAACGGATGCGGGTGTAACCAAACTTTCTAGGGTGAATGCGGGCTCATATCTCAATGGAAACCCTGGATGCGGGGTCATATTATGGTATATTCCTGTAGCCCTGATTGAGGGCTATCAGAATCCGGTGCGATTGTGGCTGTGCACCCACTCTGACCCATGGCCACCTGTGACCCTCTTACTATCTAGGCTCATATCTCCATGGA